CAAGATGAAAGAAGTCGAGGGTGAGCAGAAGACGGCTCTTTTATTTAGTGGCTGTTTACTCTCAGTAATAATTCTTTATAAAGAAGATCCTCGCTCTGAAGGAGAGAAATGAACTGTCCGCTACCGCCTTTGCTTTTTTCCCATCCAAGCTGTCCTTCTGTGTCGGGGCCAACCGTTGTAGGGACAGAAAAACTAGCCGAATATTGATCTTTAAAAGAAAAGATGCTCATTTCAGTCAGAAAGGAGCACTTCTCAGAAAATCCTTGTTATTCAGCATTTAATCGCTAATAGTGTGTGTAAATGTAAACCATTTTTTGTGCTGTTTGGACATATTTTCATACACTCCACATATAAAATGTGTGTTCAGTGCACTTATATGTTGCTGTTGTTGTTACCATGGTTACATCCTACAACGATGCATGTTAGGTCGACTAATACTTTTTAAAAAAGCATTGGCTTTACTCCTCTTTCTTACGTTGTTTATATTGAATTGACTTTATAGACATGATTATATTGAGCATCCTCAACTTGATATATCGAGATGTTTTTTTGTTTGTTTTTATTTTTTATTATATATATATTTTTTTTTACTCACGGACACTTAGGAATTTTTCTTTCTGTGCATCGGTGTGTACCAGCTGTAGCTTTAGCTTCATGCTCGGAATAGCAATGTCTCTATAGTGTAACGTTACATTTAACTTCCCTCATGTCGAGGGTACATATCTTAACACTTGATATGAATTGGTCTGTCATGCGAGTGGTGGCTCTGCCTGCACTAAAGATAGCAAATTCCACACACTCAAGGCTTTTTTACCTTTTATGTCCCTGGCAGCGCATTAAAAATAAAACAAACATGCCCTTGCATACAGCAGGGTCCTGACAATATGCCGGCGTGACGTATGAACATATAAACTAAACGGCCAGGGGCAGCCTGCATAAAGTAAACTCAGCATGTGGAGCCCAGACACTCGTCTGTCCTGTCAGTATTACTCCAGCCCCCTTTTTAATGAAGGGTTGTGGCTTTTCACTGCTGCTCTTCTCTAAAAATCAAACAGGGATTTTAAGACCATGATCCCAAATGTAGAAATGAGCTTTGGTAACAAGGCTTTCTTGAAGAATGCAGCTTTATATGCATTACCTGGAGCGTGATTGGCTGGGTGGGGTGTATAATTCTAAAAATGATAAAAGAACAATCTCCAGAACATGGATGGAAGCAGATATGCAAGGATATCACATTACAGCACCTCACGCAGTTTGAAATACCAACAGTATTATTGGAGCAGTTGATGCCTTCATGTAATTAATCTTGGTGACATTTTGTAATGCAGAGTGCGTCAGTTATTGTGGACATGCTGCGTAATATTTTTGGTGCACTGTCTCTTACTAAGAGTGGTTCAAGTAAATCCAATGACTGTACTTAAGCTGGGGCATGGGTTGGCCTGAGGTAGACCTGGTTTGGTCATTTCTGATGTGTAGATGAGATTATAGGAGTACAGAGGCACAGAAGAAGAAGGAGGAGGAGGAAGGTGTGGATGGGTGGTGGGGAGTGGGTGCTCTAAAAGGACTCAGACACTGCCATGAGGCCAGGGGCTGTTTGTGTTGGCTGACACCTTCCTTACAGCCGTAATCCAGTCTTTCTCCAGCTGGCTAACTTCTACACCTCCCCCCTTCCTTTTTTTCTTTTCTTTCCCTCCTTCCTTCCCTCCCTCCTAAAAGCAACCAAAACTGTCTGTTAACACTTTTTGTTTACTCTTCTTTCATCTTAAAACTCATGACGCATGATCAATCCTCTTACCATTGCCCCGCATCTCACTAATCAATATAAAAAAAAAGAATAATCCATGAGATTGATCTTCACAGGCATCAGAAATGTTAAAGCAGCTAAACCAAATGAGATGATGCGTTGTTTCTTCTCTCCCTTTCTTTTTTCTTTCTCTTCCAGTCTTCCTCCACTGTAGATGGCAGTGAAACCTCACACCAGCCAGTGCTCATTCAGTAAAAAATTCATTTCCTGTGTGTTTCCCGCTTTAAGGCTGTCGCCTTGTCTCTTAATTATTTAAAGAATGCCCATCAAGTGAAGTCAGCAATATTTAATTTACCACCACTGGCGTCAGGGGCACCCAATTGATTTATTATCGGGGCTCTTTTTAATGTGAACAGCTGTTTCCTGCTAAAAATAGGTCAGGGGTCAGATAAAATGACCTTGTTAGTTTTTTTTTTTAAAGGAATGGTGGATCACATTGAAATGAATATGTAGAAAGATATTGGGGGCATTATTTTTTAATTGAGACTACTTATCTGTTTAACACAAATTTCTTATGGCCATGATCAGTAACCTCTCTCTGTTACACACAACCTTTTTTTTCTTCATATTTCAACATGTGTTTTTGTGTTTGCTCGTTTTATTGTGTGTCAGGAGGGTATCTGTTTTTAAGATTGTGAATGCATTATCCAATGCCACGTAAGGGGAAACATCTCAGGCCAAAGGATATCGATCATGTTCACACACACAATTCCATAAACGAATCCTTCAAAGGCATACTCGTTACTTTTTCTTTCCTGACGTCCAGCCACTTAAAAGCTAGCTGTGTGGCTCCTGTGAGCACAGTGAAGGCTGGAGGAAAGACTTAGGGAGTGGTTCAGGGGGGCCCTCAGCTTCAGCACTTCCCACCAGAGCCACCTCTGACCCCTGGTGCCATTAATCACTGGGCTCCTGATGGCCCAGTCCCTGGGGGAAAATCAGTCCAGGGCAAAGGATGATGGGAGGTGAAGCCTGCAGCCAATTACACATTGGCTCAGAGCGGTCAAATGGACAAATCAGGGCTTTACAGAGAGATGAAATACCCAGTAGTTGCCTACTTGAGGCCTCATGTCATGAAGCGGTCCTGTGTCACTGACCATTATATTGCAAGTTGTGTCCTTTAAAGAAAAGGAGGTCTCACGTACAGCAGCCATTTCAAATGTGCGTGAGCTGGAGGAGCTGTGCCACTGTGATCAAAAGCAATGTTTTGGGCCGGTATAATTAAGCCTGTTAGGGCTAAATGTCTCCAGGGTTAGAAAGAGCAGATGTTGGACACCAAAGGCAGGAGGGAGCTCTCTGCTAAACTGCCCAAACTGTTGCTAATGTGGTTTTTGGCAATTAGTTTTATCAGAGGTGCTTTCACATGTGGCCCGGTCATTTTGAAGTGTGAAACCCGGCTGGTGTCGTGTTTTGACGGACTGAGTTACTGTTTGGGGTTTCAAAAGCACCACTGGACCTCTTTAGACATACAGATTCAGGAGCTACTTGGTTTCATACTTGTATGACTCTCTTTCCTCAATTCTGTCTGAAACCAGGACCTCTTTTTTTGCAACTCTTTTGTGTGGCTAGGGGCATTTGAAAAGCTAATTGTGAATGCATGAAATCAGATTTTGATTTGACAGCAGATGAGGACAAAAGGTTAGGCGTGAATTAAAGACTAACTAACTGCTGGCCTGTCACTCTGGGGCCAGTCCTGTTGTGCTCCATTTGTTGTGCTGTCATTGTTCACGAGCAGGCCGGTATGAAAACATGGCTTCCTGCTGACCTGCAGTTTAATGCACACATCAATAACCCCTGGCTGATCTCTGACCCCTCTCGTTGTACTAATTGTTTAATGCAGGATTGATGTCCAGCGCTGCGTTGGATAACTGACGAAGCACTTTCGGTGCGCGTTCTGGAAATGTTCTTCCAATCAGAGATGGAGCACAAGCTCCGACTATTAGTTTTGCCACCTGTTGTTGAACTAGACCCTACGGTCACCAACGGGAATAAATCTCATATCTCAAAACAAAAAAAATCCAAAGTTCCTTTTGACTTGACTTGACTTGACGTGATGAATGTGTGCACAGCATGTAGTGGATTTATTAATTGTGTTTTTATTTTCCGTCCAGCCTGCCCAACCTAGCTGACATACCTCATAGAGAATGAGAGAAATGTGGTGTTCAGTATTTACAGAATCTCATGTAAAAACCCTATTATGGTGTGGTGAAAGATTTATAAAACCTTGTCTTAAGTTTTATATCCAGACCATCTCACCTGCAATAGATATAACAAAAGCCAATACCGTTTTTTCATATATTTTTTTATTTCCTAACCGCAAAGTTGAAGGAAAGGCACACGATTAGGGAGACATAGTGCTCCCACTACGCCATGACACCGTCCTGATCCCATTCTGCTGGCCCATGTGCTCAGCACAGCCCTGTGCACATGGCTTAAAGACATGTTGCTAACTTAAGAAAATGAATCAGGGCTAATCTTCAGGGCCTGATCACACAGCTATTTTATAAAGACATTAATGAGTCCTATTCCAGGTTAAGACCAGCCTGTGGAGGGGCTGAAGGATTGCCTGGCATTAACTGTGAAGGCAAATCTGTAGGACTCCAATGCACCGGGTCCGGCAGCACTAACACAGAGGGGTGTGGATTTACTCTGTACAATCCTCTAAATGAGCTTCATTATACTGGCCTATTCTGGAGCCCCCCCCCCACCCACTGCTGCCCATGGATTAGCAGGTTGTCACAATCCCCATTCCCTTCCTCCCGCTCCATGCTTACACTATCGCACTTTTTGATTCTGTTGCATATGGGAACCACCCTCTGACTCCTCCCTCATCGTTGTTCTCCCACCTCCTCCCCTCCGCACACTCCCTGCAAGCTTCACTGCAGATAAGCTGTTGACAAGATTAATGCATCTGTATCAAAAGTCTGGAGCCGCTTTGCTTTGTGTTGTTTGTGAATCCCCTTTTCCAGGTCAAGCCAGATTGCCTTAACTGGGCTAATATGTTTTCGAGCCAAATTTAATAGGCATGCAGGCAGCCAACTCGCCACCCCTTCCCTACCAGCATCCTGACAGCAATTAGATCAGTATGTGGAGGTCACAATATAGTCCTGGGCGTTTCAGCATTGATTGCTGGATGAATTAATGCTCTAGAATTCTTCCTGCTATGTCATTCTCCCTGTAGAGGTTGTAAATGTGATTTATGCCCTCCCAAGGTAGCCTGAATCTCCTATATAAACTGTACCGTATTGATTCGTTTAATATTTCCTTTCACAGGAACCCCGGTCAATCGTATCCCCATCATGGCCAAGCAGGTCCTGGATCTGTACATGCTTTACAAGCTAGTGACAGAGAAGGGAGGCCTCGTGGAAGTTATCAACAAGAAGATCTGGAGAGAAATCACAAAGGGACTGAACCTGCCTACATCCATCACCAGTGCTGCTTTCACCCTGCGCACACAGTAAGTCTTTGTGTTTTTTCACAAAAGGAAAACAAACAAATTTAATCTACTGGAACCAAATCAAGAATTTCCAGTGTGCAACCTTTAACCTGGAAACAAACGCCTTTCTCATGCAATAACATGTGTTGCAGTAAGCCACGCTCACATGTAACACATGTCTGCTGAACTGATCTGATTCTATTTTAATGGGTGCAGCTGTCGGCACCGGCAGCGTAATGACTCCCGTTTAACTTGAGCTAATTTACAGGGAGAAAAACTACAGCATCCTGCTTATAGAGTGGGGTATTTGCCTGTTGGTATTCATACAATTGTCAATATGAGTCATGCCTTTGTGTTCATACACACAGAAGCTTGCTTTCTTTACCCGGCCACCTTCCTTCCTCACTTTCAATCCCCATAAGCATTACGTCACGCATGGCCATTGATTCCAATAGATCTATTGATGTGATTTGGGTCAGGGTTCACACTGACTCGAGGTGGGGTTTGACTGACAGCTTATATGCTTAGCCTGGGCTAATACTCTCTCCCTCTTTATGGAAGTTTCTCAGAAGAAGTAACACCTCTCTATCTCCCCCAGCCGCAAATATCCTCATAAATCTTCATGTATTTTTAATATCACCTGCCTGTAGCATAGCAGTGCTATGTTAGCTCCTTCTAATGGAAGCTGCTCTTGCTTATTATTGATTACAACTACTGGTTATACAGTCAGTGTTCATGATATACTGTTCTTATTTTTGGGATAAGATATGTAACTTTATGTGAAATGGCCACTGACCTTTGACATGAAGTAATGTTAACATGTGCGCACACACACACACACACACACACATATATGTGTATATATATATATATATAGTCCAGTCCATATAGCACTCCATTTTCAGAGGAAGTTACTTAACACTCATCTATGAATCATTCAAGCAAAACGTAGATAACTTGTATAAGAGATTATCCAACATTGTGTCCACATTTAACTGAAAAGTTAGCAAATAACCAATTTCCCCTGATCTTTAAGCTCTTTTACTGGCAGCCTCTAGCGAAGACATAATTTGTTTTCCATTCATGTGCTCACTTTATGAAAAAAAAAAAAAGTCAACCTAACACAGCTTTTATTTTTACTTTAAAAGTGGCATATCATGACATAGTAACCTGTGTTTGCTTGAAGAACACAGAATAAAAAAAAGTAAGAAATTGCTTCTGTCAGCCCAAGCTTCATGCAGTGAGGGGCTGTCAGGAAGCCACTCGCAAGCAGAGTTGGCTGAGATATGTCAAATGACACAGGAACTGAACTGGAAGTGAGTGGAAACTGGTCCTCCCAGACCCCCAGTCCTTGACATTGTTAAATCAGCATGGGTGGCCAACATTTGAAAAGGAGCTCTGGGATGTCATTTAGTAAGCCTGGAAAACTGTGGTTTGTGCTATCAGCTGCTGAAAACGGCGTTGTACTTACCTATTTGTTATATACAAGCTAATGAAAGCTTCTGTGCGGCTTTGATAGCTCCGTGTGTATATACGCTTTTATCCTTAGGTACATGAAATACCTGTACCCATATGAGTGCGAAAGGAAAGGCCTCAGCTCCCCCGGCGAGCTGCAGGCCGCCATCGACAGCAACCGCCGAGAGGGTCGTCGTCCGAGCTACAGCAGCAGCCTCTTCCGCTTCTCTCCCTCCCCCAGCACTGCCCCCCACATCCTCTCACCTCCCAAGATGCACCTTCCAGGTCTGGGCCCAGGGACCTCCGTGGCCCTCAATGGCCTGCAGGCCTCACCGGGACCTTCTTTAAAGAAAGGTAAGCGCTCTCAATGTTTTTAAATTCCCCACTCCTACATAGCCATTCCATTTTGGGTGAATTTAAGCTATTTCTGTCTGGATACATGTTTACCTGAGAGACTGTAACGGCTTTCATGTGGACTGTCTGGGTCAGACTGCTTCAGTTTGTCAAGGGCTAAAAAGTGCACAATATTTGTGGAACAATACCGCCCCCTGTCGTAATATTTAAGTAACTACATTAAGAGAAAACAAGTAAACACTTAACCAGAGGAGCTGCTTTTTGAATCTTCATAGTTTTTGCCTAAGAGCTCTTGGTTTTCGAAGTATCTTTATACATGTAAATGGACATCTTTGTACAAGATTGACAGCGTGCTCTTAATTCTACATAAAAAACATTCCATCCTTTGACTGTATCTCTCTGTCGACGTAAATGCATGAGTGCATTTAAAGGGATTTTATATGACTTTGTGAGAGCATGTTTGTGTAGTCCATCCAGGTGTTTAAGACTCCATGAGAACCAATTCTGCCTGAGGCAGATGGGAGCCCTCTCCTCTTTACTACTGATAAATAACATGGTTCCCACACCAGGAGGGACACTTCATGAACTTTGAAGCTTCCAGTCCACATCAAGAGGTTCCCGTTGATAACTGTCATTAGACAGCCATGTTATCTGATGTCACTTTGACTTGGTTGGAATGTGGCTCTGCTGTTGACCCTCAACAGTATCCACGGTTTGGTTTGAGTAATTGGCTGTTTTACTCACCAATCATTGTATGTGATCGCACAGGGTGGCATTTAAGTCTGGTTTTCCGTTGCTGTCCATGTGTTGCTTCTCTGCATGACTAAAGCTTTCCTTGGGTCCTCTAAAATATTTATTTGATAACCTTTCACGTTCCATCTGAGAGCAGGGAACTTGAAAGGACTTTTAAGGTGTTTAGAAGATACTCACAAAGTAGTTAAATATCAAGGAGAGCGTAAACAAACAAGTTTTTATTCAGAACATGTTAATCGTTCATGCTTCATTAGTCCACCAAGCAACAGACAGGAAGCACAACCAGAGCTTTCAAACACACGGAACTCAAACTGATTTTATACAAATTTATGTTCTCTCACAATTAAAAAAAACAAACTCATTTATGAATCATTCGTCCATTTTGGATTGCATCTTATTCAAGCTTTATCGTTCTTTTTCCTACTGAATTAGAGGAATGGCTCCAATGGGCCGCCGCTCACCAACATCCACGTCCGTCTCTTCCAGATGACCTGACCCCTTCGATCATGGCAGCGAGACCCCCGCTAGCGCTGTCCCTTGGTCATCAGCAGGTGGCTGGCTTGGCGAGAGCCGCCACACTGGAGCAGCTCAGAGAAAAGCTGGAGACCAGCGGCGGAGTGGAGGGGCCGGAGAGGAAGATGGCCCGCCTGGCAGAGGAGCAGCAGCGCCTGATGCAGCAGGCTTTCCAACACAACCTGCTGGCCATGGCCTCCCAAATGCCTATGAACCTGCGCTTAGGAGCTCCTGCTGTCGCCACCAGAGGTCAGTGCTCAGCTTTGTTTATGCTGGATGTCAGTAAAACTACATTTTGAGCGGCAGCATTAATCTCAGGATATGCAGGGGGGTAATGGTTGGACTGCAGGTGAAAACAATCCGTCTCCTTGTTTGTTCAGATGACAAGCAGCAGGACATGTCTCTGAGCATCTCAACCAGCGGAAATGCCAGCATCACCGTGTCAGTGGAGGTTAACGGCACGATCTACTCAGGTGGGCTTTTGGGGAACTTTGTGATGTTTCCAAACCAGCGAACGTAACATTCGGTAGCATAATGTCATGCTGTTTCTCGCTCTCCTGCAGGAACCTTGTTTGCCCAGAAGTCCGGTGGGGCTCCCGGGCCCGCTGTGTCGGCTGCTGCTGCCTCAGTCTCCCCTGCTGGAGCCAGCACCAGCTTTGGCTTCTCGGCGGCCCAGGCTCAGAACCTCAGCCCCGCATCCTCCTCCTCCTCTAAGGGCCCCAGCTCAGCTGAGCCGGCCCCCAACGGGTCACCCTAACTCGAGCCTCCCCTCGGGCCCGCTCCACCACGGGGCCCCAGCATGAATATACAGTTCAATGAGAAACCGATAAGAATAACAAACTGTTGCACAACAAATACCTCATCAACCCTGTCAACCTCTTGGCTGTCCAATCGCGAACATAGAGCCCGAGATTATTACACGGCACGCCCAAACGCACTGCTATGCATTTATTCAACACACAAACACACTAACCACGCACATGCATACAATCACAGAAACACATCTACACTTGTTAATCCTAGTGTACATGCTAAACACAATCAGCTCAGCCAAAACCCACTGACAGGTGTATTCACAACTGAACTTGAAAAGTTTTATCTTAGGACATTTTGTTTGTTTGTTGCCATTTTGTTGTCTTTTCGATTTTGTGTTTTAGAATGAATTTAAGTTTTGTTTTTCTCTTTTTACATACCTCAAATCAAGTAACCTGCAGTGGTGTCTTTACCTCAGGAGCTGTAGTATATTTAACCTGAATCAACTTTATTTTTATATTCTTTTTGACCTAGTTGCAATCAGGGGAAGTCTGGTAACTCTCACCAATGGAACCTCATGTACAGAGCACCCACCTCACAGCAATAGGCCTCCAACCCGGGCCACTCAGGTTTATTTAACACACACTGTACCCTTTTGCTGAACAGGTGAATGATTAGATGCTGTAGATCAGCACATAAAATACCTCATTTCATAACTTCCCTCTGCTAAAATCACATGGAAGTCCATTTCAAAGGTTGGAAGTACAAATCAGTTACTCGCAGGTCCGCACAGGCCGTCTATAAAGGATAAGCGCTTTATAGACGGGGGGGCAGCAGCAGCTCTGATGCTGCAACAATAAACCTATTGACCACAAGCTCACATCTCCACCTCAGAGGTACAGTGGAAAAGTGTGCATCTGTGTGTTTTTCTGAGGCATTCAGAGCCCCAGCCACAGAATCGGATACGAGCCTACTGCCCCCTTTTTTTTTTTTTCTTGCATCTTATCTTCCAGCTACAGCCACAGAGCTAAATGTCGAGCGCAACGGTGTCTACGTTGGTCTCCGTAGTTCTCAGACCTCGTTCTGGCCTTTGGAGGGCATCTCTCTCAGGAAGCAAAGCGACAACTGCTTGGAATCACTGTCAATTCAAAGGGGGGATTCACATTTGAAGAATGCACAAAATACATGACTGTTTCAAGAATACCTCATCGGACTCTCTGAAAGGGAGAGCTACACTACATACCTCGGCTGCAGAGCCTTTGAGACTTGGCGCCAAAAATCCTGCCTGAACTGAAACCCACATGGACATACTGACACACTGCGGGGTGGTTTTTGGGGACAAACATTTGGGAGGGCTTGTTATCTTTCTCCTGTATTTACTTGTAGAACCTGTTTCATGCTTGCGTTTTATTGCTTTTTCGGGGTCTGGGGTGGGGGGGGGGGGGGGTGGGGGGGGCCTGATGGAAGTGATATATATCTGCTTTTCTTTTTTCATTCTTCAGGGAAGAGGGGAAAAAAGGACAGTTCTCCTCACTGATTTTTTATTTTCAGGATTGTTTAATTGTTTAAAGGTCACCCTAACCTGGAATGGAACTACAAATGCAGACGTCGCAGTCAAGTTTTTCTTTCTTTTTTTTTTTTCCCCCACGACAGTTCTGAAAATTATATGCATGTGTACAATCATGTGACCAGTGTTAGAACACCTTCATCCTCTGGTAATTGCACAGCTTGACACCAAAGACTTGCCCAGTCGGTCCTCTTTTGTACAATCCTCGTCCCACCTGCTGTGGTGCATAGCGAGGTGGGTCAGCCGCTCGTTTGGGACCGCCAACAATGTTGCATCTAATCGCTTTCGGCTTAATTTTCTTAGAAGCAGTGAAAACACCCTCAGGTGAGGCGCCGTTAATCCTCGTCTTTCAGATTTAGCGGCGGGACTCCACTCAATGGAATGTAACACTTGAAGTAAGTAAATATTAAAAGTGTATTTAACTGCTCCAATCTAATGTCATTACGTGTGCAGATGGGCATGTGTAGCCTGTTCAGGGACATTCGAGTTGTATTATTCAGAACAAAAGACCAGGCTGTGTCCTCTGAAGTCGGCTCACTCTGGCTATCAACCCCAACCCCCCCCACCCCGTTTTCCCTTATTCTGTGAAACCTGTTCAATCCCAATCAATGATGCCCACAAAAAATTACATTGTACATCTTATAAGAAACAGTATGTCCTTTTAAAGTAACTTTTTAGCATTTTTGAAACACCACAAAGGATGAAATTAGATTTTTTTTTATTTTTTTTTTAGCTTTGCCCGTCGGAATGTGAGGCATTTAACTGCGTAAAAAGCCCAGAGGGGATGAGTTGGGCAGCCTTGGTGCTTTTAAATGGATTGTATCTCAGTTGTTGTGTGTCAGATCCTGCACAGGTCGTAGTTGCGGGTAGTCAGGAGCGGTGCGGCCAGGCCTTTGGTGTGCCCTTCACAACCTTGAATGATCATATATTTTATAAAGGTGAGAATTATAGATGCTGCCTTAAAGTAGTCGCTGGTGAGATCTGTTTTTCTCAACTGGCTGGGGAAAAAGTCTTTCTATTCAAGTGTAATCCTTCACTTACTTTTTGGGAATTTCATCAGACGGTTGACACAATGTTGTCAATCACGCTGTTGTGTGAAAAGCTGAGTTTTTTTTTCTTTTTTTTTCCCCATATTTATTGGTGTCGGTTGTGATGTCAGTTCTGGACCATGTTTTTATTAACAGCTGAGTCGAATCATTAAGGCTGTGCAGCGAGACGATGTTGCTGTTTTTAAGCCCAAGCCGTCTGTTTCATCTGCTTAGTCCACAGACTGATAGTGTAGCCTCACTGCCTTCTGCGAGTTTGCATGTGTGAGAGTGTGTGTCTGTGTGTGTGTGTCTGTGAGGATGCTCGGCGATTGCGATGACGTTAACAACACAGCAGGTGGCGCTGCCGCTGTATCTGTTTTAAGACTATAAAGAGGAGGAATGCTGCAGAAGACCTGAGTTTTGAGGACTTTTAAAAGAAGAGCGTGGGTTAAAGGGCAACGTCTTTCTCCAGTATTTATCTGTTGTACTTTCATACAGTCCCAGACGGGTCGCAGGGATCCGAGTCACCCAAAAGGGACTTTTTCTCACTCGCTGATCAGAGTGGAAAGTGTTGAGGGTTGGTCATTCGCTTTTCCTCTGGGTGTTGTGGGCATCTGAAGTGGCAGCCCCTCAGGCCTCCTCACTACCGGCGGGGCTCCTGCTGCTGCGTGGATAAGTGTACTGTATGTGATGTGTGGTGCATGTGTCATACAACGATACCTCAGGGCAGTGGGCTGCACTGACCGCTGCCCAGCGTGGAAGCTGCATTGAGGGACGAGTACCGATGGAGGCTGCGGTCACTTGGCTGAATGCTTCTTTGGATTTGGTGTTGCATTTTTAGGTTTCGTGTCGTCGGTAACTGCAGGCGAGGTCTCGTCACTCAGGAAGCTGTGAAGTTGTAAGTTTGCAGAAACCCTTTTGTCTCTGGATGATTTTGGAGTAAAATCAGTTTAAGAAATTGTTTAGGAAAAAAAAAAAACTAACCTGATCTGTGTAAAAGCAGGTGCATATGCAAGTGGTTATTGAATACCTCATTTATCAATTTTATGTTGCTGTTTTGGCTTGTACAATGCTCCGTATATTAATTCAACTGTGGGGTTTGTGCATATTTTTGTACTGTTATTATTATTATGGACATGATAATAATGATATTACTGATATTATTATAGTTTTCTCTTTGATTAAAGCAAACTTAAAAAAAAAAAAAAAAAAGAAATGGGACAAAACACATGAATGCTTGTAAAAACTGGTTTGTGCTGATTGTATTTAAGAGGAGCACTTTTCCAAAGTGGTTTTTCACACATTCGGTTTTGTTCATATTAGTTAATATAAAAGATATGGTTCTCAGGGCTTTAAACTTGTATGTCATGATAAAGTTTTACTTTATATCTTATATCCCTGTGTGTGTGTATGTGTGTGTGTGTTTTTCTCCTTTTTGCTGCATTATTACACGCACTGCCGCTTATCTTTTCTTTCAGCTTGGCCTATTTGGCAGGTTTCTCGGAAAGTCGCCTCAAAGTTGTACTGCGAAATGACTTTGTTTGGTTTTCAGCATGTCATTTTCACTGAGAAGTGAGAGATTACCCCCGCCCTTCAAAGTCCACCACACACAAAGTACTTTGCAACACACAGGAAATGATACAGGCTGTGAAAGGGCTGACTTCCTCTTTTAATATAGAAAAATAAAAGGGTAGGTCTCAGTATTATTATACTAAAGGCATCATCACCCTCACTAATTGCAAAGCATTGATAATGCAAATTGAATCAACATTACTTATTTTAAAAAACAGTCAATGTAGCCAGTCAATATTCATATTAGTTATAGTTACTCAAACATCTAAAAAAAAAAGTGCTGTGCTATAAAAAGAAATGCCAACAAACTAAACGGATTTGAAAAAATCAAGTATCAATTAAGACATTTTTCCTTGGAAAGTTTCAAGGTCTCAGCAGTTCTTCCATGAACAGAAGACACCTTCACATCCATTCTTGCATCAACAGACTTTTTTTTCTACTAATTATCAGCCTTGTAACAAACAGAAGCTGACAGAGGGGCAAGCAGAAGTTTTAAGTCCTTCCAATCTTGTTGCTACAATCTTCATCCGCTGCAAACAAGCGAAAATAATTGTTTTAAAAGTAGGGCGGAGACACGAGCAGCTTGCAAGAACTCTTGGGGTAAAGTGGGTTAGGTGTTGTGTGACATAGGGGAATGATGGCTGAGGTGTGTGTGCGTGTGTGTGTGGAGGGGAGGGGGAAATGTTTTCAACAGGAGCTTTTTAATTGCTCAATGAAGGCTCATAAGAAATGCTCTCTATTAAAGGCTTCTTTTTTTATGCCTTTCTAGAAGAAAAACTTAATAAAAAGCTGAGGTTTGTCAAACGACATAGGAAAATCGGAGAAAAACGTATATCTGGGTAAAAGACAGCCAACATCCAAAGAATACCTTCTGTATGCCCTTCTTATGCCTGTAGAACTATACCTGAAAGAGTGCCTTCAGGCAAGTTATTTTTCTAAAAATATCTAAAATTCTCATTGAATATGTTCAAATAAACCACAGTAAAAATACAAAAAATACAAAAAACAGCCAACCCAAAGGCACAAAAAGTGCATTAGGAACAAATTTTGTTCATTTAAGGAAGCAGAAGTTACGTATTGCATCACCTCCCCTCAGTCTTTCACAGGAGTTCCGGGACAAAAGTGAAGTGCTAAAATAGCTGCGCTGTTTCCGGCTGTAGTGGACCGGGTGTGGCGTCGCTGACCGCCTCCATGTTCTTTGCAAAGGTACATGGCAGACAGCCTTTGTTCACGCTGTGGCATTGAGACTGACATTATGACAGATGTCCACATTACAGGTGCTTAGACACCGAGCTCAGTGAGACCACACTTCCAAGAGAACATTTCATTTAGTCAACACAGCTTTCTCTGTTTTAGGTATTCCTTTCCTCACTTCTCCTTAAAGCAGATATTTGCTAGTGCAAACCCTTTGGCAGAGGACTGCAGCTCAGGTTGGTTTGTTGTTTTGGCAGTGAGGATGGTTTAAGTATCTCTGAGAGATGGCGGTGGCCTGGGCTGGGATGGAGTCGAAGCCTCCGGTACAGATGAGGCCACGTGGTGGTTTCATATGACACTACATTTGCGAGGCTCTCTCTGTATTACCAAATTAGGAAAACTAACAAACGGAGCTCTTCGTCAGGACAGAGATCACTACGCAGACCCAGAGCAGGGGGCTTGATGTCCGGACCGCCGCGGCGTCCCCCAGGAGCAGCCGGTAGTGCGTCAGGACTTTGCTGTAGCCCGACTCCTCCGACACGCATTTGTAATCCCCCTCCTGAGCCCAATCCATGCCGTCAATCAGGAGAAGGCACTGCTCGCCCCTGGAGCTGCAGGACGTGGCGTTTCCAGGCCCGTGCCATGTGTAGTGGGCGTGGTGGGACGAGACCGGGCACCGCAGGAAATACCGGGACCGGCGGGGCAGCTGAACCTGGACCACATCCTCAATGGAGTTCCTGTGTACTGAGAAAAGAACACAGGCACTATTCACTTTCAAGGAGTTTGTTGGTCTCCTGTTTTTGCCTGACCTCCAGGGGTGTGGATGACTGGGAAAATGTGACATGGGACAAAGGATTCTTTGCTACTGTTTCAGTTATGGATCTCAACCATCGAAAATGAGATTTGTTATCTAGCAGCAGAATTTCTGTGCTTTCTACAGGCTGCCCTTTATAGTCTGTGGTGTTGTCATGCCTAATTAGTACAACTGCAACCAAAAACAGACAAACCGAACTCTGCATACTGCCTTCTGGTCGGGCCTAAAATGTCGTGGCTTGGTTTGTACTGTATATCAGTACTTCTGGCTTCAAATGTGTCTTCTTCTTTTTTTAACCATAATTAGAACTAGAACTCTCATTGAACATGTCAACTAAGTGGTTGAAAGCAAAAGTAACAAAGATAGTTAAGCTGTTAGCAATAGGCTTCACACTAAGGCTGTTTGCTTATAGAGAAAACAGAACTTATAGACCAGAAGTCATAGATAGTTTAGGATGTAAAATGAAGCCTGATAAGTTTCTCTTACACAGAAGAAGCCAAAAGCCGGAATTGAAAGATAGCTTATTCAAAACTTTATTAACAGCCTTATCTCTATGTTATGATACCTGAAGCGAATGGAAAAAAAACTTTACTGTTTACTGGGTGACTGATTAATGTGGTTTATTTTCTGTTTAGCAGTTTAAAATAAGACCCAATGCATGTATTGTATTGGGTCTTATTTTCTATTAACCTGAGAGCTAAACAGCATCTAAAGAGAATCAGATTCATCATAAGAAGAAGTTCACATTTAAATCTAAAAGATTCTTGAGCAAATATTCCAAAACGAGTGTTTGGTTACTGTTCAAATCAAGCTGTATATCTGAAGCCATTCTGAAAGAAGTTCACACTGACACAGTAACAAATCTGTCAGCCCTGAACAGGTGCACGCTATGAAGTGGCCAAACTTCTGATGTGTCTGTGAAAACACCGGCGCTTCCCTGGTATTACAATTTGGCACATTTGCGAATATCTCTGTACCTCTTTTTACGGCCAGCGATGTCTGTGGGCAGATGGTATGGTTTCCCCACATCGGGTCCTGAAGGGCACCACTGCAAAAGAAAAGGCGTGTCTGCCAGTTATTTACAGCTCAAAATTCATCTTCGGGCCACAACCTGTCCCCCAGCCATGTATTCAAATATCGTGGTTTGGTTTATATTTGTGCTACATGCTTCCTTTGCGGTATTTGGTTGAAACTCTGCTTCAGATGATTTTTTTACCCCTTTCTTTCAGAAACTAAAAGCAGAGCTCCTGCTGTGGTGTGAGTGCTGGAGATTCCTGAAATATTGCCAACCAGGAGAAGCTTTCTTTTTTTATGAATGTGAAAACAACACTATAACACTTTACCCTGCTATCTTTTAAAACCATGTGGCCACAATTCAGTTTGGAGCTTTGGCATGCTCAGGATGGGAGATTGGATCCAAGTGAAATCCTTTGGTTTCCTTAGCTCAGCAACGCACGATTGGATTAGAACTTGTCGAATTCTGCAAATGGTCGCAACAGGGCTGCCATTTTTGGGTCTTGGCTATGATTTCATTGACAAATGCAGCATCACCTGCCACACCTCCAGTCAATCTGTCTCACCCGATCCTTCCTTGCGTGGTCGAACAAGATCCATGACTAGCTTCCTGTCTAACGGAGGCAATGATTCATTCTTTCACTGTTGCACATCTAGTTTGTGATGCATCACCTCCTGCCGGGCCTACTGAGACCACATCAAAGGGGAGGGATGCAGATGCAAAGGTAGCTCTGTGGGTGGGGGTGAGGGGGGCGCTAAGTGCAGGAAAGTGCAACAGAGCAATGCTTCCCCCCCTGCATACACCCCTGCAAGAGGGGCAGAGTTCCTTCTTTACTTTAGTTCTCCTTTCTCTGTGATGTTTCCCCTGTTAACCGAGAACAGAGCTGGCCAATCCTCTTCCTGTTCTCACATCAACCTGTGGAGTAAAGCCATAAATGCCAATGCTGTGGCTGATGATCAATAGAGATGTCCCTCCAAAACTGATATGAGTAATCTTTAGTTCCTGCTACCTGGAAATTCTACCACATGTGAAGAAATGACGTAGTGCCAGTATATCAGGTTTGCTCAGGTAATAGTTCATTTCCGGGGCAGCAAGACAATTTCTCATTGTCTTATTGTTGACTGTGACACTACCATCATAGCTTATGCACTGAAGCTGAATTTTTTCAGGTTTCCTGCCAACATCGGTCTGTGGCATATCAAGTCTGCCGCTTTCAAACTGTGTGATTACCAAACTGCCAGATCAGCCTCTTAAATCACGTCTCACCCAATTTCAACTTGACAGGAGTGATAAATCTAATCTCAACTGCCAGTGGAAGCGTATACCCTGTTAAAAAGTCTCCAAGATAATGGTAAATCTTTGATGACGCTAAAAAAATTTTGGCTGGGGGTTTCTTTGACAAACAACACAAGCAAACATTTTTGTGAATTTTCTTAAAAACTCCATCAACTAATTGCAGAAACTTCATAGCAGAAGCAGTGCAGTAAGGGTCAGGGAAGTCCAGCATGGGGATAACCTGTGTCTTCTTCCCTTAAAGCAGCAAGGCCCTTTCTCTTCTCTTTTTTCTATCTTCTTCCATTCTTGAAGTTTGACTATCTTATGGCGAAGCTAAATCAAAGCCAAACTGGGGACATGGTAGCGCGACTAGATAACTGGAGAGAGTCCTTCACATAAGAGTCCCATCCTGCAACCCGATGGGGTAGACCTTTTCATTCTCTGTACCAAAATGTGTGGCTAACTACAAATCCATAAATGCATCCCCACGAAACCTGTGTCAAAATCAAATAACATAGAAGACTAACTTTGACAACTAACTTTCAATATGATGGAGTGACTTCTCCAGAGTTACAGAGTTTGAGTCATGTAGCTTGTGCAAGTTTGATTGGTATCAGTTGATTATGTGGCAATAAAGTGAGCAAAGTGTGAATTCCTGGCTTTACAATGGACATAAATATGTTCACAGCCAGGTATGAAATAGTTTTGCTCACCATACGTCATTTCCTATTTAAGAGTTGGCATTCATGGTAATGTCATGACAAGCATAAGGGCCTGTAATAGCGAAACTGGACTTCTTATAGTTCTTTTTAACAATGCTTTATCTCCCAATGCTTTTTTTGTTCTAAACTAAATGGTGGGGAGGACAAGCGATACATTTTCTACCTATCCTGTCTGAAAAAAGGACTCTAAACCTGCCTAGGGTCCTCTTTTCAGACAGGTGGACAATTTATAAGTGACACGGTTGTGGCTTTGTCAAACCTTTTAAACAAGACTCATACAAATATTTTTGACATATTTAGAATAGAATTAACGAAATTTAAATCCTGCCAACTTTAAGGCGAGCTTTGCCACATGTTACCCTTTCAGACTTTATGTTTGCACATTTCAAACACTGGCTTACAGCTACATGGAACCCCGAAGGTCTCACCCTATCACTGGCGTGCAGCTTTTGCCATCCCAGCCACAGTGTGGATCTCTGGACAGAACGCAGTCCTGGCAAGTGTGTCCATAGCGGGAACAGTTTGATACGTCCAGCTGGACCAGCTCATGTTCTGAGTTCACGTAGAGCTTTCCCTAAAAACAAAAAGAATTAGAAGACATGATTTTTTTTTTAAAAAGTGGAGTCAAACTGTTTTTCTATGACTGAGAAAACATTTCATCTGTCCAGTTTTGTCTTGTTTTAGGATGTTGGATGCGTGGCAGTGTTACTCACAGAGGAGCGGTCAAAGACAAGCCCGAGGATGTGGGTTCTGCTGTGAAATGGTCTGTATTCAGCGATGATGAACGAATGACTCTCACTCTGCATGACCTTGTGAACGCCTCCATTATCTGAGGGGGAAGAGATTGATGAAAGATGATGAAGCAAACGTATCTCTCATTAGAGGCGTGGTTACCTTACAGGACACGTTTTCAATTTCCACCTTGCGTAAGCATGTCGACACCACATCCTTACTGGAATCTTTAAAAAATGTACTGATGACAAGGCTTTAACCCTTCAACAATTAGACCAAACATTTGTTCTCAGCTACAGGACAATCCAGCAGAGAATGAGAATTTCAGACATTTTCAGAAACTTTATGGAATGGACAGTTTGTCAGTGCATTAGATCTTCTGTCTTGCAGCAGCAATAATAATACAGGACGATTGCTTAACAAGTTTAGATCGATTGGCTCATACTGGCAACATGGGGGCTCAGGGAGACCAAACCCAAAATATGCTCTATTGCCAGTTTTTTTCTTTTTCCGCAGCAAAAAGTCAAGCTGGTCCATATTGCCTCCTTAATGGCTCTAAATCATAAATGCTGCTCATCCACCCAAATATACTTTATACTATAGAACATACACACCAGGAGAAAATGTACAAGGGAGGATTACAAAGACTCCCATAAGTCATCCTAATCCTGTGTACACTTGTTGGTATAAACTAAGTATTCTATCAACTATGAGGGCATAAAGAGCAGAGCAAAGGTAAACTCTGAGTTTTCTTCTCACTAAAAACAAATATTTTATCAGCACACTTTTGAGACACTATCTCAGATGCAGGTAGCTGCTACTTATTAGCTGTGGAATTTGCGTCTGTCCTGGAATCATTCAGCTGAAGACGGTCAAAGAGAGATGAATCCTTCACATTCACTCTGTTGTACAGAATTTTAGGACAGTCGCATTCATAGCAGAAGCTTAAGAGAGAGTACAGATAGTATCTAGACTTAAATTTAATCATTTGCCACATGCATTGTGGCACATACTTGTCTCTTCCAATCTGAGAAGCAATATTACAGCTAGCTACCTCAGCACTTTGTCACTCTGATGACCTGAAATTTGCAGTAATCACTTCTTTTAATAGCCTGCGGGTTCTTGACCAAGAAGACCTGACATGTGGTCACCAAGACCAAAGTTCAACGGGAATACAAGCACGCGTCCAGCGGAGCCGCACTACAGGAGGATGACTTGCCGTCACAAGATCACAGCGTGTGACACATCTGTGACTTTTTGAGTGACCACAGTAAAATATAAAGAAAAACACCTCTTTGGTTTCTGCTTAGTAGTCAAAGCTTTTTAACGTAGGAATTTTGTAGTGGGATTTGACTTTTGGCTCTTCTCGTCCCTCTGTGATTTTTACACAGAGCTGGCAGTGTGTGTGGGAGCCACAGGGGGCAAACCTTTGCTTTGCCTCCATAGTGAGTCACAACACACATTCACACCTTCCCACATTTTTGGAAAACCCTACCTGAAACCCCAACGCCCACCCCTAATCAGCACTCAGCCGTGTTCTGCAGAACTCATCTAAAGCCACTTTACACTTTTAAAATGATACTGAGCCACTGATCTTCTGGACTGATGAAGCGTTACTCACTTAGTGACAGGAAGACCATCGCGGGGCCACTGCCCCCACTGCTCAGGGACGCGTGGGCGGAGATGTGGGTGTAGTTGTGGAGGTTGAAGAGAAGTGGGCCGGAGCTGTTCACCGGCTGCACCCACTTCTTCATCTCCGAAGACTGCTCGATCTTCGTCAGGATGTTTTTCGAAATCTTGGTGCTGTCGGGCACACACTGGAAAAAGCAAAGCGCCTGTTTTTAGATCGAGCACAGTCCGGCAGAATTAGCGGTAAAAAATAAGAGCATCACGAGCTAGACATGATGCAGGGAGAGAATGTCTCAAGTTCACGTTTAGAGCAATATAGAGCTTTCAAGTTATTTAGAATCTAAACACCAGCGTCAAAGCGATTAAATGGTCACATACCGCCCTGGGTCTGTCATTATCCTTATCCCCTTTAAAAGCGGACTGTTGGAAGACCTGGTCAATGTCTCCTATCGTGTAGACGCACACAGCGCTCATGCCCCTAGAAAAAAACACGGCAGTACGTAAAAATGAAGAAAAAGAAAAGCCCAGCAGACAGTGGAATGGTCGAGAGAGAAACGGAACTCAAAAGTCAGCAACAGTCATTAAGGGGTTGCAGTTAAGTTAAGTGGTGAACTGTGCTGCTTAAAAAAGAGGTTCCCCTTTCAACCAAGTGTCTGAACGATGGGTCAGCTTAAATTGGTTGTCTTTTTTACTGACTTTGGTTAAAAAAAACAGCCCCGTTGCTGTTGTTGTGGTTTCACAGCCCTTATTTTGGCTGACTTTACATCACGTGATAAAGGGATCTGGGCCACAACGCACAACTTTGAGTGGACTTGCTGTTTATAAAGGTACTCAATCCTAAGTTACATCTCACCCTATAAACGGAAAAAAAACAGCAGTGTTTTGCCTCACAATCCATACTATGTCTTACAGACTCCTACCATTCGTTTTTGAAGAGTGCATACACCCTGGTGTCGTGCCATTGGTCCGCATGCACAGCTGCCACATCCACCAGCTCAGAGAAATGCTGTTTGGTCTCACGGTCTCCACAGAAGAGCCTGGCAAACATCAGGGATGTCCAGGTGCCCTGCAGGTGGTTCTTAGGACCGCCGACGTCTACCTGGAGACGGCGAGCAGTCAGTCAGAGGAGATGATCGGCGTACGTATGGAAACAGGAGCTTGCGCTGCCGACCTCACCGTGCAAACCTGGCTCACAAAGGGAAGCCACATGCTACTGTATAATTCTGGGTCTTTGTTTTTCTGCTTGTAGAATCCGTAAATCCTGTTCTGGAGAGGTTCAGCTCTTTTGCTGTGCACCAAACCCACATAGTGCTGCTCTATGGACAGAAAAGAAATGCCAATTAGCATGAGACCATTAGAAAAAAAAGCCCAGTTTGAATAGAGGGATTGTGTTTTTGCACATACCTTTATCGTGTTTGGCTGGTCTAACTCTGCCGCCAAACTTGTGAATGCCGGCATTGTCCAGATCTCCAGAGTTTGTAACAAAGAGCTCTGCCGTGTCTTCGGATTCTGGGGAAAATAGTCGCATGTGATTAGAGGTCAGCTAAAAGGAGGCGTACGGCCTCCTACGGGGTTGAAATTAGCCATCAATGAAAAGTCAAGAACTGGTGGGCAAAAGAAGCCATCGCAGTCTGGAGGTACCTCACCTGCTAGGACAGAATGCTCATTTTCCCTCAGGGGAAATACACTTATGCTGTCTCTCACACGCTCAGTGTTTTCGGAGAACGTGCATTTAGGAGACTGCTCTGACAAAGTCTGCAAGAAAAGGACGACTCGATAAGCTGTCCCATCTCACAGGAAGTATTAAAAAATGAACATCTCAAAAAGAAGAAGTGTTCCGATCTGCTTCCTGATCATGTGGTTGTTCGCGACCTCAGAAAGGGGAAATGTTTAGCCATACATTAAACACATTTTCACGTTTCTACCCACCAGATCACAGCATGATGTTTTCAGGTAGCTGGTTCCGCAGACAAACAGCGGCTTGCCTTTTTCCCTCTGGTGAACCAAGGTGAGTTTGCAATCCTGAATTAAAAGAGCAGGAGGGCCCTCATTTAATTTCTGGAGAGGACGAGAAATTTCTACCCACATTTTACACCGCTCACCTTGCAGAACTCCCACTGCAGTTTTGGGGCGGCATGGCTCTGTTGGAAGACATAAAGCGGAACTGTTACTTGGCCATGTTCATGTGTCAGTCCAGTCATATTCCCAGAAATCGTACGAGTACCTGCTGAAGCCCCCGGAAGTTGTAGAAATTAAGATCCGTTTTGCCAACAGTTGTGACATTATCGGGCTGTTTACTGAGGATGATCCACCCAGGTGGATCTGGTCCCGCATGAGGAAACCTTTTAGCTGCAGTCTCTGTGAACACATAATAAAACAGACTTTGTCTGAATAGCACGGAAAACAAGGCTGTTTCCAAAACACATGTGACATTTGCATGGGGAAAAATTCACTCTGTCAGGGGGGTGGTTCTTGGAGGGAGGACTCAGGTGCGGAGATGAGGGAAACAAGGTTTATTGTAACAAAAAACTCATGAGTGAATGTCCAGACAAAGTACAAATCAAAGCTGTGAGCAAAGTAACAAAGCAATAAGCAAACAAGACAGAGGCAAAACTATGACTGTGACAAAGTAACAAATGACAAAACTATGGCAAAACTGTGACTATGACAAAAAACTGTGACAAAAACAAACCTGGCGTGGGGGAGACGACGGACAAGACGGACTAGGACAAGAGACGAAAGACGAAAACGCACTCGCGCCAGACAAGGGGAAACGAGGACTATTTAAACACACGAGGGAGGGGAACCCCAGGTGTACACAATAGGTAATCAAGACATGACGAGACACCAGACGTGACACACTCGACCAATTCAACTTCAGTTCAAATGAAATGTATAGAAAAGATGATCCTAATCTTAAACACAACTCCGCAGATAAATGGCTTTTCTTATCAGACATACTGAACCAGCTGTATTTGAGAGATAGTTCCTCTGAAACACAGGCTTAGAACGTATCCTCTTTCTCACACCTCCAACTTTTACCCCTATCTAATCATTAAAAGAAAGATGCCATGCATATTCATAAACTCAAAGACTAATTTTCCTTCAGAAAAAACCCCACAAATAAACTCAAGAGGATTAACTACACGCGCACAAACACATCCGTCAATGTTAATCTCTCATCCAGGCTGGTGACTGAGAAGGATGATTTCAAATGTAACACAATTGTTGCCATGGGGACTATTATCTGTTATTCCTCCACAGGGAGATATTTCTGTCTCTGAATAACACACTTGAATAAAATAAAATAGAATAAAAAACAAACCAGCAACAACAACACTGAACTGTCATATTACAGTAAGTGCGTTTGTACTTTTTGACGCAGTATTGGTTGAAATGGCCCCGTAACGCACGCGTAAATTGTCAACTCCAGATAGTCTGTGGAGCTTCTTGCGGACCTGTGCTGGACAGCAACGACCGAGTCTACAGATTGATCCCTTCTACCTACCTTGGATTATGATCCGCGGCTTGTGCGTACAGTTCGCTGCAGGCAAACTGTAAACGCATAATAAAAATGCCAAAATCCCCGATAAAGAGAGCAACATTTCGATCGCCGGCTGCCAAAACTAGGAGCAGAATGGTATCCACATCCTACTTCTGTTGCTGATAAAGACTTAACTCCTCCCCCGCTCGAAGAGAATTTTTTTTTATGTTCCTCGTGGATATGAACAGGTGATAAGTATAGGGTTTTCATAAAGTTATCATTGTTCTCCCTATTAAAATGAAAGCCAAGCTCATAAAAGGACCAGCAATAAAGATAATGTCACAAGGAGTAGTTTGTTTGGTCCTTTTCCATAATTATATATGCTTGCCATAAACCCTTGTTTTCTTCTGCCTTTTCAAAAGTTGCCCTCAACTTGGCAGGTATTGCATGGATTCACACCTGTGATCACAGCAGAGACACATTCAGTGCAGACCCCACAGCCAATTCACAATCGACCCCCCCCCCCCCAAACTCAGACAGGTGAGCAGCCAGTCACAGCTGAATCACCTGTTGCATCACTCGGAAATATTAGCCAAGTCTTCCAATCATAAATGATGACAGAGCTGTTGAAACAGGCAGCCAGGATGTGTGGTGTGGAGGCACGTCCTCATCTTGTGTCAAAATAAGAGAACGTCCCTGCTTCTCTAAGCGAATGTACTGCGTTTTACACAATATCCATGAAGAGTTTCCTTGAAGATCCTCATTTTTTTAAATTTATTTTAGGTGTCAGCCCACTAATGCTACTAAATGGTTTGTAAACCAGGACACCTTTCATCAGATTTGACTGAGTTAAAAATGCACTTTGAAGTAATGCAATCACTACAAAACAATTATTTTGTGCTCCTTGACTTCTGTCACCTGTTACAGAGCGTTCTGGGAATTCCTTTTTTGTCCCTCCTGATTGCATCGTGTTTGTTGCTCAGCTGAGCGTCACACAAGCAGTGTGTACACAGAACAGGTGGCAGTCACATGCTCAGAAAGATCCTGTATAAACATTCCAAAACCCAGAGCAGTCAAGCATAACTTGGTTATGGTGGATGATGCAAAGGTTTCTGTGGGATCAACCCACCTCTCCTCCTTCACCTTCTTCATCGCCTTGTTCTCGATGTGTGGTCATATCCGCCTTTTGACCCACATCGGTTTTCATCTGCAGGTGGGCTGAAACGTTTTTTAAAATGGCCGGAGGCAGCTGGCACTGTCCTGTGATTAAAGCCCAACAGCCTCCATCTCTGATGAGATGCGGGTGCCTTGATGTTTGTGGAATAGAGTGTTTACACATAAGAACAGGAACCATAAAACGCAGCCGGTTATGCAAAGGTGTTCAAACTAATTCCATTGCACACATGTGTCATGTTCAGTGCTCTATTGTGAACAACTGACTATGACTATGTTATTGGACAGTGCTAAAAATGGAGATTGTAGTCATCCTGGCTGCCTTTTTGCATGTACCATCTAATAGATTATCAAAACATCAAGAAGGCCTGGTCATGCTGTGCTGACCGATGGACTGTAGCTACATCCTGGACTTTCAAAGTCTCGACATTTTGAAAGATACAGAAGTCCCTGAGGCGCTGACCCACATTTTTTGGGTTTGATTTTGGGTCCTACGGGTGGAGGGACGGCTAAAATTGGCAAGCTTGACAATAAAGGGAAGTGAACACCCTCTGAGCAGACATAGCGGGACAATAACAACAACAATAGGTACAGAAGTCAGGAGGATTTTTTATTAGGAAAATTGGGTCCAAAGTCTGGACTCTTCACAGGTTGAGTCTAAGTAAACAGTAAGTTTGAAAGAGCGGAATATAGCATGGTGCTTCCAGCCTTGATAAGTCAAACCGAAACAAGGAACAGGTACTAATCATAGCACTCACCTTTCTGTGACCATATCAGCATAAAGAAAAACACACTAAACACAGGCATAGAGGGCCTCAACGGAACTCTGACTAAACAGTAAGAATTTGTCTATTTAGAAATATGATTTTATTAAAAAAGCAAGTGGTCATTTTGAAAGGGAAGTTACATAAACCTTTATCCCAATAGGAGTGTAAAATCCACGGAAACATGGGGAGTGGTCCCTCACACAGACCAGTGAGTTCAGACATAACAGTGGGAGTGCTTACGTTTTGAACATGAAATAACAGCTAAGTTGTAACCAAAAGCAGGGGAGGTGTTTGGCATGAGTCAGTTTCAGACAAACTGCATGTCCATGAGTTAGCTAGGAGATTAAAGTTTAAAAGAAAGTCCAACATATCTCACAACAGAGGTGTTCAACTAAACCTTCTTCTGCCCTCTAGTGGCCATAAAATTCTCCTCTAGCTCTTCTGAACATTTGCCTTTCAATTACTAGGAAAAACAAACTTAGTCTCCAGTTCCTTGTTGATACATCGGTTGATGATCATTTGTGTATATTTGGACAATTTCTGACACTTGATTCTCTTTGTGCCCCTTTTAATGGCCCCTTATTAAAGCTTATTGGATTGAACCGAAAGTAACAACGAATTAATAACACATTTATCCTCAGGGTTTTTATTAATAGGGTTTTTTAAAAAAAGCAAGTTTGAAACTAATACACTATTGATGAGGTGCCCTGATTTACCAGAAGAGCTGTTTACAATCATACCACCCATCAGTTTTCCTTCCTCCTTAAGAGGAGCAGCTTGTGTAAGTAACCCCCAGAGAGAATCTGTAACTCTGATGTGAAAGTGCTCCTTTGAGCTGTACTTGGCTGGCCATGTGTATTGTTCTGGAAAATGGTGGTCCTCTCCCTTTGAGTTTGAGACAGTGGGAGGAATTTTGGGTTGTTCGGCACGGATAGATGCACTAAGATGGGCAGACAGACTGGGATTTTGTCTAAAACAAATTGAGACACTCATGCATAGTTGTAAAAGGGAACAGAGCCAGGAGGCAAAGCATCTGCGGGGGCGTCTTTGTTTTCAATTTACCCACGTTAAAAAAGATTTGTGTTTGTAGATGTGTAACAAAAAACAAGTGATTTGGTTCGTCTAACTCAAGAACTTAGGATAAAGCTATTAATTGGAAGCACACAATCAGACCCCACGAACAGGTGACAGGCTGAATGACCAAATCCAGGGAGTCCAACTCCGGTGTCCGGCAGGTTTGAGATGTTTCTCTGTTTGAACGCGCCGGATTCTGATTTGTTCAAACGATTCTGACGCTCAGTGCATGTGAATCAGGTGTGTTGAAGCTAAACAATAACGTTATAGGAGTCATTTTGGCTGGGATAATTGCGCAAGCTTCATTTTGCGGTTGCCCCTCGGTAATAGAGCAGACATCCAAATGCTTCTGTTAAACCAACTGCTGCAGTGAAACAACAGGGATAGGTTTGACCATTTTTCAAAGGAAGGCGGGACTTTTTGTTTTTTTTTTAGCCTGACATACACTCAGGGTATAAAATGTGGACCAGCGTGTGAGCGGTTGGCTGGAAGCTGCTCATCCCGGAGATGGAGAGCCCGGACTGACTCACCCGCTGCGCACTGGCAGGATGTCGCAGCACAGCCTGGGAGGTAGGACAAGCTTCTCAGATCTTTACTCTGCAGCATCCGTTGCCCCACGTTTACCCTTTCATTTATATTTACTGTGGGTTTCATTATTTCACTCAGGAAAAGAAAAAAAAGAAGGAAAAAACAGATTTCTATGCGGAGAACAAAACAAAACTAGAACCAATGATACCTTCTGAAAACTGGCACTGTGCGCAAAGAGAGTGAATACAAACAAGGTAGTTTTTGCCATCACAATCGAATAAAAAAGCTGCAACTGACCAACAAGGTGTGCAACATGTAGTGTATTTGTATGTTTGGGGAAGTTTTGCTATTTGGAAAAAAAGGTGCTACTAAATGACAATAGCTTGAACAAGCTTTAACACTTTTAAACGACAGTTAAGTAGGCTACAGTAAAAAATAACTCTTTGTTCATTCTGGTTAAAAAGGAAGGCTAAAGAGGTATTCCGCATTGATACAGAGCCGCTGCTGCTCAGCCTCCAGCGTGACGTCATCTGGTCCCTGTGATGGGCAGGGACTGGCCGGAGTAGCTGGCACTTTAAAGTGTTCCCGTCAGCCTTTTGCCTTTTCCTGTGCACCTCCAGCTCCTGGTGGGGGGGCTGAGAGAGGAGGACACCGGAGGGGCTCTCTGAAAAGAGCATGCTTTGAAAGACGTTCCTATCCATATGGCTCTGTGTGGACTGGGGGTATTTATCAGGGATTTTAAGTCCTGACTCGTTACTCTCGATCTTGAGAGACACCTTCATTTGCTCTGACACAGCGTAAATATCTCAGAGGATAAGGTGGATATGGTGCTCTTTCTTATTGCTTTTTGTTTATTTGAGAATGCTCTGTGATGGCAGCTTTACAGCCCAACTATTTATCTCCCCTTTATTTATTTATTTATTTATTTATTTATTTATTTATTTATTTATTTATTTATTTATTTATTTATTTATTTAT